TGTTAATAATTTTGTCAAATCTAGACCAATATTTCTGATATTTGTACAAATGATGCTTTACAACAATAAAAATTTGTGATAAGCTGATCAGTTGTCTGTGTCTAATGAAAAGTGTTTTCTAAGACAATATATTTGGGAAAACTGAAAAATTACATTGAAAAGACTTGGAAATCTCAGGACTTAAAATAGTTAAACATTAATAATTTTGTCAAATCTTGTCTAATAATTCTGAAATTTGTACAAATGATGCTTAACAACAATAAAAATCTGTGATAAGCTGATCAGTTGACTGTGACTAATGAAAGGTCTTGTCTTCGGTTGATATATTTGGGAAAACTGAAAATAACATTGAAAACACTGGCAAATCCCAGACCTTAAAATAGTTAAACGTTAATAATTTTGTCAAATCTTGTCCAATAATTCTGAAATTTGTACAAATGATGCTTAACAACAATAAAACTCTGTGATAAACTAATCAGTTGACCGTGACTAATGAAAAGTCTTGTCTTCGGTTGATATATTAGAGAAAACTGAATATTACACTGAAAATTAGCAGTGCAATATTCCATGACTTAAAATAGTTAAATGTTGAAAATGTGAAAAAAATTTGTCCATTGTTTCTGAAATCTGTACAAATGATGCTTAACAACAATAAAAACCTGGGAAAAACTGACCAGTTGTCTGTGTCTTTTTTTAAGTGTCAAGTTTACTGAAAATTGACCATCACAAGAGTGAGAAATAACCAAAACAAATATTTCTATATTGCAATGTATTATTTACTTTGAAAGAAAACAGCAAAGGTGATTGAGGTTGTTGATGATTTGAGGTTGTTGTGTGAGAAGTTGCAAATTACCTATAACTGTCATCTGGAAACAATATATACCCATACAAGACTTCTCCTTACTATCAATGCCAGATGCAGATTACTCCTTACAATGGGTTTCTGGAAGGGGTTGTTGTTATTAGAGTATTTGACAATGTCCTAAATCTTGCCAAATACCTTGTATTGTACACATGGATAAGACAAAGTGCTGCTCTTGGTGCTGTCTTTCACTGCCTGCTTCTTCTTTGTAAGGTTACTCTGGAACAAGAACAATATAAATATCAGGTATTACATAGAACAAGATGAAAAACTTGCTGAAAGGCTGTAATTAACCAGTATTACAGATTTAAAAATTTACTGGAATATGTATATACTCAGAAAAACAATGTGATATATGCAAGAAGATTTAATAAATGAAATTCATGTTGTGATCTAACCATCTTGAAAATTATTCTGGAAACACTGTGTTCTATTGTGGCAGTATAGTCCTGTGCCTCCTAGTACAGTGTAGTAGTCTGGAGTCATTGTGTTCCATTGTGGCAGTATAGTCCTGTGCCTCCTAGTACAGTGTAGCAGTCTGGAGTCATTGTGTTCCATTGTGTCAGTATAGTC